ATATCAAAATGTAAACCTCGCTGGTTAAGAAGGAGCTGGGGTTGGCACTGGAGTTTCTCTTGAGGCTCCAGGGTGTCCCTGGAGCTGGGAGGACAGCCTCCCATGTAGGGGTACAGGCGTCCCGCCGTTAGGTTTCCAGAGGCCCTTGTAAGGTGTTTTGTTTTTTTTTAAAGATTTTATTTATTCGACAGAGAGAACACAAGCAGGGGGAGTGGGAGAGGGAGAAGCAGGCTTTCCGCCGAGCAGAGAGCCTGATGCGGGGCTCGATCCCAAGACCCTGGGATCATGACCTGAGCTGAAGGCAGACGCTTAACGACTGAGCCACCCAGGCACCCCCCTTGTAAGGTTTAGACAAACTCACCTATCTTTTGGAGGGAGGCCCTGGAAACTCATCACGTGTTCCTTTCTTCCCTTTTGTGTCCTTCCCCTAGCTCCCTCCCTCTTGACTTTCATCTCCCGACACTTCCTCCTTCCCTAAATTGGCTGTTGACTGGGACACTGTCTCCATAGCTTCTCCTAGCCCTGATGCTCCCAAAGATAATTACGTAGGTCCCCTGGCTTTACGGTTTTTGCATGTATAACAAGTGCAGGGACCAGTTACAAAGGATTAAGAAGCTCTCTCGTCATCCTTGCTCCTGGAAACAACCTTCAGCTGCCTTCTCAGACTGGGTGGAGTCCTTGCCTTGGTCTTCACCCTTCAATGCTGAATGAAGATGGAGTCAAGGTATGGCAGTAGACGTGCAGAATGTCCAATCAGGTAGAAACTAGTGCTCATCAGGGAAACAGCGTGGCATAAAAAACAAAAAAACAAAAAAACAACAACAATAAAAACAACAACAAAAACAGTTCTTTATGATCAAACACATCTAAGTTTAAAGCCCAGCTCTGCCTGCTCGTGGCTGTGGCCACTGGCGCCCCATCACTTTGTCCCCAATTCTGCAGCTATGAAATGAGGATGACAATCTGCCTGCCTCAAAGGATTCTTGCCAAAATTAAATAAGATAGAGGACATAAATCATTTAGGAAGTATCAAGTGTAATAAATGCCTGTCTTCTTCCCTCTCTTGCCCCCAGCCGCCCTCTGTTCCTATAAGTCTAGTGGCTGTGGCTGAGACTTCTGGGTCAGTGGTGCAATAACTGAGAATTTCTAGGTCAAACAAGAGCTGTATGGGAGGCGGAACAGCTGCTTTGTTGGTATTCTTGTGTAGGGTGGTGTGGGGAAGGTCTTTCCAAACCATCCAAATTACTTCCTAAGACTTTTTGCAGTTGCCCAAGCCAGAAACCAGGGAGCCATTCTTGAATTCTCCTGGTCTCTCACCAACCGCCACCACCCCCCATCTGTATTTCCAAGTTCTGTTACTTCTCCTTAAGCTATTCTAAATCCTACGGTTCTCTCCATCCCCCTGCATTATTTCTTGTCCCTGGAAGTCTGCAATGGCTCCCTGACCGGCCCTGCAGAATTGTCCCTCTTCTTAATTATCCAGCAGATAGAGCTCTTCCTATATCCAAGTCTTAGCCAGTCACTCCCCTGGATAAGATCACTTCTTGATTGCTCAACTTCTCTCAAGATGAAGTCTAAACTCCTTAGTGTGCCTTGGTCCCTAAATTCGGACTCCTGCCCACGTTTTCAGCTTTCTCTCTCACCAACCCTGTTATGCTGGACTATCTCCAGGGCCGTGGACAAGGCACAGTGACTGAGGGGTTCCTGGATGCGGGACTTTAGTGCTAAGAGCAGGCCAGCCCTGAGCATACCAGGATGGCGGTCACCCTAGTTTTGCCTTGGGTCTCCGTGTGCTCTGTTCCTTTCTCCCGAACGCTTCCCCTCAACTGTCCTGCCTCCTACTGACTCCTCAGTACCACTCATCCTCTATTTCTGCTTGGCCATCCCCTGTGCAGCTCCAGATGGAGGGATTTATCTGTCCCCTCCCAAAGCTGTCACAGCCGGTGCTCCTTGCAGCCCCTGCTCTATTTTAATGGCTGCTTTGTCTCCCCTGTGGTTATAAACCCATTAAAGGCAGGAAGTTTTTTTCCTCCTACCTATATTCCCAGAACCTAGCAGAGAGTCTGGCACAAGGTTGGAGTTCGATAGTTTTCTTGAATTAAGGAATAGCAATACAAATTTATCTTTCTCAATTATTATCTAATTCATATCAATATGGGGAAATGTTATGGATCGAATGCTTGTGTCCCCAAGCAAATTCATACGTTGGACCCCTAGAATGACTGTATTTGGAGATGAGGCCACTAAGGAAGGAAGGAAGGTTAAATTAGGCCATAAGGGTGGCGTCCTGATCTGATAGGATTGGTGTTCTTATAAGAAGACACACCAGGGAAAACCCCTCCCACACACACAGGTACCAAGGAGAGGCCATGTGAGCACACAAAGAAAAGGCAACCCCAAAGGAAAGGTCTCACCAGATGCCAACCCGCGAACACCTTGATCTTAGACTTCCAGCCTCCAGAGCTGTGAGAAATAAATGTCTATTGTTTAAGCCACCTGGCCTGTGGTGTGACCAGTGATGACTAAGGATCACACAAGGAACCATCCTGAGGCAGACAGTCTATTCTAAAATGGCCCCAATTATATTTCCCATCCCACATGTTCTTCCAGAACCTTGCAACTCTCCCAAGTCTCTGCCTGCTCTTCTTGAAACTCGTCACCAGAGCATAGTGGAACGCCACTATGAGACTTGCGAGGTTAGGACAAAAGAGGTGATTCAGAGTCCACCTGTCTCTCTCTTGGGATGCTCATCCTTAGAACCCAGTCCCCATGCTACAAGAACCCCAGCCCAAATGAGAGGAACAGGGACCCCTGCCCTCAGCCCTGGCTGAACACCCAGTGAAAGGCTTGCATGCACTTCCCAGCCATGTCCCTACACCATCTTGGAATTGGATCTTCCAGCCCTCTCTTGGAAGGACCCAGAGGCGGATGTGTGGATCAGAGATAAGCTCTTCCCCAGGCCCCTCCAAGCTGCAGGTTTATGATGAGAATAACAGACTGTTGCTGTAAACGACCAAGTTTGGGGCTGGTTTGTTTTATAGGAAGAGATAACCCAAATACAGCTTGTTGAGACAAGATGTAGCCACTTATACTAGATGAATCCTTCTTTCTCTTGATATGTCCTTGCCCCAGAAGATTCTGGTTTATTTCAGAAGAGACAGGGACACACTCCAGACCGGTCCATTCAAATATTGGCCCACAGCGTGACTGGATCCTGACCTAATCCAGGGGGCAAAGCAGGGCAGAATCGTGGAGCCGTAGGCCACCCCAGGTGCACAGCTGCCCTTGGCTCCTGAGGGCTGACCATGAGGGCCCCGCCTTCAGGAAGAGGAAATCTTAACAGATAGCCATCTGCTCTGCCCATGGGAAGAACACCAGGTCTCATCCTGGGTGTTTTGTTTTTTTTTTTAATTCTCTGCCTCAGAGTCATGTGTTAGTATCACCTTGGGTGGTGCAAACTAATCAATTGTAAGTTGGTTCTGTTTTGTCCTATACCAATCATTTGGGCATCCAAACCACTGTATCCTGGGCCATCCTTCCAGGCCACCATCTTGAACCATTCAAAAACAACTATGTGTATGTATGTTACAGTATGGAATACAAGAACATGAGTGTTCAACATTACATGATTGACAAACATTTGGTTTTCTATCATTCTGCTTTACTTAGGTAAAGTAAGTATCCTAGAATGGTTAACTTCTGGGACCTTGAAATGGTTACATGAGTAGGTGGTTTAGTTTAGAAGGTATGACTAATATTTTTGCAGCCAGGTAAACTTTTCTGCTTTCCAATGACTCTTTGAAGCCCATTTACATTGCTTAAAAATCAATTATAATTCCTTCTTTGGACATTTTTACATTGCCCCCATTGTGCTGGTTATTCCTCACTGTCCCACTCATATAATACCCCTCCCACCCACTCCTGGCCATGTTTCTCCCCAGTCGTCTTCGTTCTCTGACTTCTGGATGGGTCTGACCAAAACCAAGTGCTGTTGGAGTGTGGAGGGGTGGGGAGAGAGAGGGCTTCTCCCTCTTCCTTCCCTGCTAGGCCTTGTTATCTACAGTGACTGTGTTCCTCCACCACCGAGCATACATCCTGTTGGGGAGCCCCTCTCTGTGGCTACAGGTCTCACTGGGTTCTAGGAACAACAGGCCCTTTCCTTTCTGCCTCTTCATGCCACAGGATAACAAAGGCTTCCACTGTTGCTAGTTCCTAGGTGCTTCACCATCTCATCTTGATTCTCTTAACCCTCCCTACAGTGTTGTTGTGGGCTGAATTGTGTCCCAGCCCCCCAACGCCCCACCCAGATTCCTATATTGAAGTCTTAACCCCCAGGACCTCAAAACAGTGACTGTCTTTGGAGATAGGGTCTTCAAGGAGGTAATTAAGGTTAAATGAGGTCATATGGGTGGGCCCTAATCTTATCTGACTTGTATCCTTATAATAAGAAGAGATGAGGACACAGACCCACCCAGAAAGAAGACCATGTGAAGACACGAGGAGAAGGTGGCCACCCACAAGCCAAGGAGAGAGGCCTTGGAAGTAACCAACCCTGCCAACATCTTGATCTTAGAGTTCCCAGCCACCAGAGCTGTGAGAAAATAAATGCCTGTTGTTTAAAAGCCACCCATCTCTGGTATTTTGCTTATGGCTGCTGGAACAGATGAAGACAGTGGTACTTTGTGATGGCAGCTCTAGCCAAAGAGACACCATGGTAAACAGCCCCATCATTAAACTGCTCAAGTAGCCTTGGGAGTGTGCTGTCTGCATCTTTCTGGGACCCTGCCCCACACACCCAATATTACCACTGTTGCTATCCTGTGTCCCTTTATCAACCCCATGGTATCCAGCCTCATATTTGTATCTTAAGTTTGTAACTACGTCAGCACTTAGGCCATGAATACCTTTGACTGAAATACTGTAGAACTCCCTGTCCCAAGTAGGTACCTAAGCTGAATGTTTCTTTTTTTTTTTTTTAAAGATTTTATTTATTTATTTGAGAGAGAGAGAATGAGAGAGAGAGCACATGAGAGGGGGGAGGGTCGGAGGGAGAAGCAGACTCCCCGCCGAGCAGGGAGCCCGATGTGGGACTCGATCCAGGGACTCCAGGATCATGACCTGAGCCAAAGGTAGTCGCTTAACCAACTGAGCCACCCAGGCACCCAAGCTGAATGTTTCTAAGAGAGGACCCAAGTAACATCCAACTCTCCAATGTGTAGAGCACCTTGTCATTTCTATCAAAATCCTTTCACATTTTTAAATTGACTTCGGATCTGGAGCCTGGCTGGGTAATGCCTGAAGCCCAGAGGGCCTCTGAAGATGTTGCGTGAGGATTTTCGTGGCTGCTTTGGTGGCCGGGAGCCCTGCCCACCGATGAGGAGACCAGGCGAGATGAGCGGGAACTTGGAGAGGGGCGCTGGGTTCTGCATTTAGGGATATCTAGGGAGGAAAAAGACATCATTCCAGTGAGAGCCACCGAAAGAGCAGAGAGGAAGCTATATAACTAAACCCATTTTAATGATGCAAAACAGCTCTCTCACATCATAGGGCTGGGTGGGATTTATTGAGACTTCCCAACTTCACCACCCCTAACCCCCATGCAATCTTCACCCTGAGCTAAGAATCAGTCTGGTTAGTCTCCAAAGTGCTCTCACGACCATAATTTCATTTGAACCTCAAGAAAATTCCGCAAGGTAGGTAGGGAGGTATTAGCATCTCCCTTTTACAAATCAACAAAACCGAAGGACAGGCCGTTTACGTGCCAGCCCGAGTTCCACAGAGCAAAAAAGTGTCAGAGCCAGGTCTGGAGATGTGAGGCTCCCAGGCCAAGTGAGTACTGGTAGAGTTCCCATATTTTACACTCACTACTAATCTGCGCATGCACACATTTGCTCTAAAAAGACAAATGTCACAGGTTGACATTCCAACCAAAACTCACAGTGAGAAAGGATTTCTCCTGGACATCTGGCCGTGAGCAGGAAAGGGGAGAGGGAGAGATGGAGAGAACAAGAGAAAGAAAGAACACGAGCTGAGCTTGCAGGGAGCACAAGCGATGGACTCTGGTAAGTTCCCTCTTATGTTGGCCCCTACTGTGCAGAGAGTCAGATGGAGATGGGGCAGATATGCAGACCCTGTCTCCTTCCCTGAACACAATCCCAGTCCCACGACTCCCTATTCAGCCAGCACGTCCCAGCCGTCAGATCCTTTGTTACATCCCTCTCATGCTCTGCCGGATATGTTCGCCACACACAGGGCTTCTATTAATCTGGGGAAATCCTACTTGAGACTTTCACTGAATCAGAAACTGCTTCAGCCAATTGTTGCTGTCTCCTGTCCTCTCGTCCAGCGAACCAGGTCCCTCATTATTCCACAAAGATGCCCCCTAGTCTTGCCTCACACCCTACACCAGCCTCGCATGGTCTATTCCTTCTCTAAATCTAACCTGTCCTTCAAGGTCCATCTTCTCCAAGAAGCTTGAGTGTCTTGACCCTCAGGGATTTCTTTCTTTTTTTTTTTTTAATTTTTAAAAATATTTTATTTGAGAGAGAGTAAGAGAGAGAGAGAGAGAGCACAAGCCAGGTGAGGGGCAGAGGGAGAGGGAGGACAGACTCCACGCTGAGCAAGGAGCCCAACGTGGGACTCGATCCCAGGACTCCAGGATCATGACCTGACCCAAAGGCAGACGCTTAACTGACTGAGCCACCCAGGCGCCCCGACCCTCAGGGATTTCTGCCTCAGCTGGATTCTTGAAGCCATTATTACCGAGTCCTCTGACTTTGCATTGAACATAGGTTCTTGGACATTAGTATTTGCTCCTGACTGTAATCCTGGCAAGACTGCAAATGCCCTGAGAGCAAAGCTGGAATCTTACACTTCAGTAAATCTACGGGTGCCCGCCTATACATGTTTGTTGATGATTTTTCTAGGAAAAAGGAGGCTAAGCTGGGATTAAATGTAGCAAGTTGTTAGAACTGGAGAGGAAAAAGGGGAAGAAACGGGAGCAAATAATCTTCCCTCCTTTAAAGCTTCCAGTGTAGGGGCGCCTGGGTGGCTCAGTTGGTTAAGCGACTGCCTTCGGCTCAGGTCATGATCCTGGAGTCCCGGGATCGAGTCCCACATCGGGCTCCCTGCTCGGCGGGGAGTCTGCTTCTCCCTCTGACCCTCCTCCCTCTCATGCTCTCTGTCTCTCATTCTCTCTGTCTCAAATAAATAAATAAAATCTTAAAAAAAAAAAGCTTCCAGTGTAGTTTGAAGATCAACGCACAGTAAGCATTTTCGGTGTTATTCTAAGATCAACATAAGGTAAAAGAACAAATAGAGGTGTTCCTTTGTGCTATTTTAGTAACAATGAAAATAGAATAATACCTGTTAAATGAAGAAAAGGCCTAGCTCTCTGGGATACAAGAATGGGCTAGTCACACCTCACCTGTAACAGTTTCAAATTTAATCCTATTACTCTGCAAAGCTGATTTATCACTGCATTTGAGGAACCCCTTTCCCCTAAGTCCCCCTGGGTGGTGGGGGGAAGTTCACATGCTGAGGCAGGCTCCTCTCAAGCTCTCCTTTTTTTAGCCAAGGCAGGTTGCAGGGATTCACCCCATACCCCCATCCCCCTTGGTAATTGTCACCAAGACTATTGGGTTTTTCTTCCCTCCAAGATCAGCTCTGGGAAGATGGTCTCCTTACATCCACCCTTTCTTTCTGTCTCTGAAAACAAGTGTGCAGACCCTCTTCATTTTAAGGCTTTAATGTCCATCATTACAAGAGAAAAGATAAGATTTAAGGGGAAAACATGGGGAAGTTACATAAAGGGTATAAATCTGACAGTCTTGGATCTAGATCTAAAGCATCTGGTAATCTGGTTGAAATAACTAGGAATTTCTTTTATACCAACACTGGATATGAGATAATAGAAAAGCACATATTGGTCTCAGTCCCATGTTCCTGGCACAGAGCTCAAACCCTTGTAATTTCTGAAGTGATAAGAGCACTTAGGAGCATCTTTTGTTCTGGTGAGGTGACTCTGGATGGGCTCCTGGATGGAGGCTGGTTACCAGAAAGACCAAGTCTTGATTAGAAGCTTAGAATTTTCAGCCCCACTCACCATCCTCCAGAGAGGGGAGAGGGGCTAGAAATGGACTTAATAATTGATCGTGCCTACATGATGGAACCTCCATAAAAATCCCAAGAGGATGGGGTTGCTCTTACAAACAATGTTGTTATAAATTATCTTTACTTATGTGCAGGTCCATCTGCTATAGCCTTTCCTCAACCTGTTCCCATGAAGAGAGATGGAATCAGCTACAGATCTTTCTCAACTTATGATGGGGTTGTGTCCCGATAAACACATCATGAACTGAAAATACTGTAAGTCAAAAAAATGCATTTAATACACCTAATCTACCGACTGTTAATAGCTCAGCCTGGCCTACCTTTTTTTTTTTTTTTTAAAGATTTTATTTATTTATTTGAGAGAGAGAATGAGACAGAGAGAGAGAGCACGAGATGGGGAGGGTCAGAGGGAGAAGCAGGCTCCCCGCCGAGCAGGGAGCCCGATGTGGGACTCGATCCCGGGACTCCAGGATCATGACCCGAGCCGAAGGCAGTCGCTTAACCAACTGAGCCACCCAGGCGCCCCATCAGCCTGGCCTACCTTAAACATGGCTCAGAACACTTACATTGGCCTACAGTTGGGCAAAGTCATCAAACACAAAGCCTATTTTATGATAAAGTGTGGAATAGCTCGTGTAATGTATTGAATACTACTGGAAGTGAGAACTAGATGGTTGTTAAGTGTATCGGTTGTTCATCCTCCTGACTGTGTGGCTGACTGGCTGCCACTGACCTGCATCGCGAGAGAGTGTAGGATTGCATATTGCTAGCCCGGGAGAAGATCAAAATCCAAAACCCAAAGTATCGTTTCTACTCAATGTGTATTGCTTTTGCACCATCATAAAGTTGAAAAAATCACAAGTTAAACCATTGGAAGCCAGGGACCATCTATAATTTATTTTTTTTTTTTAAGATTTTATTTATTTATTTTGACAGAGAGAGAGACAGTGAGAGAGGGAACACAAGCAGGGGGAGTGGGAGAGGGAGAAGCAGGCTCTCTGCTGAGCAGGGAGCCCGATGTGGGGCTCGATCCCAGGACCCTGGGATCATGACCTGAGCCGAATCAGACGTTTAACGACTGAGCCACCCAGGCGCCCCAGGGACCATCTATAATTTAAATATATTTTTCTTGGGGCACCTGGGTGGCTCAGTCGGTTAAGCATCCGACTTGATTTCAGCTCAGGTCATGATCTCAGGGTGGTGGGATCGAGCCCCGTGTTGGGCTCCATGCTCAGTGTAGAGTCTGCTTGAGATTCTCTCTCTCTCTCTCTCTCCCTCTCCCTCTGCCCCTCACCCTGCTCACATGCTCTCTAAATAAATAAATAAATAAAATCTTAAAAATAAACAAATATATTTTTCTCACTGGTTGTTTTCTTTTCTTTTAAATATTTTAAGTAATCTCTACACCCAACATGGGGCTTGAACCTACAACCCCGAGGTCAACAGTCATGTGTTCTACCAGCTGAGCCAGCCAGGTGCCCCCTTACTATTCTTTTTCTAGAGATATTTACCCAATAATATCTCCAAGTGTTGTCAGCATGTCTTTAAATGGAAGGACATAGAAGAGAAATAGAAGGCCATGCTTTATACAACAGAATTATCCAGGGTTCTGTTCTTGGCCCACGTCCTAGGCAATCAGTGCCTATGTCTTCAATTGCTGGATTTATATCTCTTGCCCCACTGTCTCTCCCGAGCTCTTGGCTCATAAACTCAGCTCTCTTCTGAATACATATACTTGTAGTCCCACAGGTACTTCACACCTAGCACATCCTGCTGCATTTCCAGTCTCAGTGGTGGGTGGTGTGAGCATTAACACAACTACCCAACCCAGATACCTAGGAGTTACCCTTTCCTTGGCTGGAAGCTGTCCCCCTCCAGCCTGTAAGCACCTGGAAGGCAGGGACTGTATCTTGTTATGGTTGTATCCCTAGTGCCCACTCGTGCACCTGTAAAATACTTGTTGGATAAATGAATAGATGTACCAATGATTCCTCCTCTTTCATTTCAGGGCAGTGGCTGAAAGCACTTTGCAAGTGGATATTGAAGTGGGGGTAGAAAATTCCTATCTTCAGTCTGGATGGCCATTTGGCTAAGGCCCAAGAAGGGCTATCACCCAGGAACAATTTTTTTTTTTTTTAGATTTTATTTATTTATTTGACAGAGAAAGAGGGAGAGAGAAAGCACAAGCAGGTGGAGTGGCAGGCAGAGGGAGAGGGAGAAGCAGGCTCCCCGCTGAGCAAGGAACCTGGTGTGGAGCTTGATCCCAGGACCCCGGGATCATGACCTGAGCCAAAGGCAGATGCCTAACCGACTGAGCAACCCAGGCA